GGAAATCTGCTTCCACCCCTCCAGGCAAAAACTGGTTCAAAGTCCAAGCTCCAGGTTTAATAACAGCACTGGCAGTTCAGCTCAGATCATGCTCCAGCCTAATTGAAGAGTTTACAATCTCGTTGTCGTTATTAACAACAAACAGTGGTGCAAAGCTACACAAGCAGTAAAAATTACACCATTTAACAAAGAAACAAAACACAAACCCACGCTGAAATCAATAAACAGAAAACTGAAGATGTGAAGAGGACAGATTTCAGTCATAAACTCAACTAGTGACCACTAACCTCCCAAAAACTCATATATATGATTCCCTCATACTCTCAGTGCAGAGTAGCATTCAGCTCCCATTTTAGGAACCAAATCACACGGTACCTGATAATGAGAAAGACTGAGCCTCACTGAAAGCCATCCTACTTTTTCTACCCCTACAATTAAACACAATACTTAAATGATGACTTCAAAACTATTCCAATTCAGCAAAAACTTGAGCAATTAAGCATTAACCCATGAGCACCACTGTCATGGCAATCAACCTTTAATTAAAAGTTCAGTTGCTAGAGCTGAGTGGATGAGCAGTCACAGAGTGCTGCAGCTGGGTAACCCTGCTCCAGGATCCCCAGCCCCCAATGGGAAACACAACAGCCAAAGGTGATTGTTTCCATTCATTAGACCCAATTGTGCCACCAAAAACAATTGTGATTACAGAGAACTACTACAAGATCCCCCTCCCCATCACTGTGGGCACAAAGGTGTTCAGGAATTCAATATTTGATGGATGGAGGTAGGTAAAGCCAAGGATCTGGAATTTGCAATAAACATTTAGAGCTCATCACAGCTTTCTGCTTCACTCCTCAGCTCTGGAAAAACAAGATAACAGTGGGAAAACAAGGGATTAAAACTCTTTTTGTTTATGCAATCATGCCTTAATGATCATCTATCTTAAAATCTGAGTTTCAAAGTGTTGAAATACAACCCACCACAGTGTAAACATATTAAAATACCAGCTTAAAATGCACCTGTCTTCTCTCACCCTAATGATCTGGAGAGCTGAAAAAGCTTCTTGTAGATCCACTAAGTTCTTCACCAAGCCCACGGTGAGGTTGGAAAGATCAGAAAACTGCCACAGGTCCGTGCCCTGGTGTGGAACAGCCCTCCCAAACCGACATCCGAGGTTACATCCTGTGCTCCCCACAGAAGACACGCTGTGTGTCACACAGCAGGAAGTGAGCTCAAATGAAACACACAAATAAACTCCTTCTGTCTCAGCCAATTAAACATTACCCTGAGCACAGCTTAATCCGAGAGGCATAAAATTAAACCGTTCCTATCTGCCTTTAATGCTACACTTGACTAAGCACAGCTGGCTGTGCTTGCAGTGTTGGAAAGCACCCGAGTTTTTTTCTGGAGTGCAACTGGTTCTTTATCACAGGGTCAAACGCTGGGCCTGTCCATCCTCAGCCTTTTAACCTGAGGAGACTCAGACAGAATCCTGTTCTCACTGCAGAGCTGACATTTATTAACCTGCCAACACTAAAATACTGCTAAGAAATCAGAGGATGAGTCAATACTTTCCCCACAGGAAACACCTTGACCTGCTTAGAGGAACAAACTGCTCGGAAGGACTCGAGGACTTTTATTTTCTGAACAACTTTTGCTTTCTACAGCAAAGGGAGGACTTTCTCAGCTTTCACTTTGCAGTACGCCCCCAGTTTTGAGCAGAGAAGGAAATTATTTGGATCCTTAACACCAGATTACACTTTGGACATGCTAAAATGCAAAGAGACAATAATTTAAGCAGAGAGCTGTACAGAAGGCTGGTGCTTATCCAGAATTCCTCAGCTCTCATAGCAATTTGAGCAGAATAACCTACTGAACCCCAGAGGTCCTTTGGGAGCAGAACTCAGAGAGGGAAGAGTTGCTCATCACCACTTTTAACCATGAAAAAAAGAGGTTGCACCAGAGCCCTACTCACCTTCACGAGGGAAATTCTGTGAGGAAACCCCTTGACTTCATCTCCCCAAAACGAAACCCAGGTGCTGCACCTGTCCCAACTCGAGCAGCCCCATTCCCCCTGCCCTGTGCCCCCAAATCCTGTCCCCCAATCTAGAGCCATTCCTTCATCCCACAGCCCCTGGATAACCCTCAGTGACAACTGAGGACTCCACATTTACCTGCTCCCCTACCCCATCCACCCTTCTCGACCCTGGCAGCCCTCATTGCCCCACACCCCCAAACCCTGGCAGCTTCTCCAAAAGCCTCACACACATCCCCAAACCTGCCAGCCCTTTCTGGACCCCAATGCTCCACATTCCCCAAACCTGCCAGTCCCCTCTGGACCCCAATGCTCCACATTCCCCAAACCTGCCAGCCCTTTCTGGACCCCAATGCTCCACACTCCCCAAACCTGCCAGCCCTTTTTGGACCCCAATGTTCCACGCTCCCCTCAGTGCTCCAGCCCCCGAAGCCTCACACACCGCCAACACTCCCCAAACCCTCTCAGCTCCCCCCGAGGCCTCACAGCCCCACACACCCGGCAGCCCCCTGACGCCAGTAGCGCCCCAAGCTCCTCACCTTCCCCCTGAGGAGCCGCGTCCCGGCTGGCGGCGGGGCCGGCGGGCCTGGAGCGGGCGGTCCCGTGCCGGTGCCTGCGCTCGGCGGCGGCGGCGCTATGGCAACTGCCCGCGGGGCACGGCGGCCAGAGCGGCCCCAGGGCCGCCGGGCGGGGCAGCACCGCCCCCTGGCGGCCGGGAGGACTGCGGGGGAGCCCTCAGGGCAGCGCCCAGAGCCGCGGGTTCGAGACCCGCCCCGGGCAGGTGGGAGGAGGAGGGGACATTGCGGGGTCCCCTGTGTGCTGGGGGAGTCCCTGGGGTGAGCACGGGGATTAGGGAGCGTACACCGAGAGATCACAGAATCGGTCGGGATGGAAAACATCTCATAGCCCAGAGCAGAGCACTGAGTGCTATCCAGTCTTTCCTTGAACACCCACGGATGGTGACTCCACCACCGCCCTGGGCAGCCCATTCCAATGTTTAATCATCCTTTCTTCCTCCCAATGTCCAACCTGAACCTCCCCTGGCACTCCTGTCCTCTCATCGTGAGACACAAAGACAGACACACAGCCAGGTGGACAGAGACACGGACACACATCCCTATCCATACACACACAATGCATGTAAACACACGTTTATATGTGCATTTTATACGTACCAAGGACAAACAAGCCCTTAGTGCCAAAAGGCATCCCTGCTGCTTGGACTGAGAGGTGCCCTGCCCGCCCTGGGACGGGATTCCCTGCCCTGCTCCAAGCCTTTCCAGCTGTTTTGGGCATGGGGATGAGGCTGGGAGAAAGGACATCCCAAGCTCTGCATTACAGAGCTGCAGGAGTCTGAGCATGGAGGGGAATAGCTGAATGAGGATATTTAGATCAGAAACTCCTTTAAGCCTGATTTTACTATGCAAATTTAGGGCAAATGAGCTTGAGAAGGAAGTCAAGTTTTTCCAGCTAAGGCAAGACATTCCCATGCCCTGAACACTCCTGCTGTGCCCACATTATGCAATAGCCAGCACCCACAGTGACACCTTCCCTGCAGCAACACAGCCAGAAATTCAGGACACCCCTGTGACCTCGGAGCACACCTGGGAGCAGAAGAGCTGCCACACAAACCCAGCCAGACCCTAAATCACATCACCCTCCCCAACCTTCCCCGATGTTTCCCAAAAGGGAAAAAAAACTCCCTCCCACAGCTGCAATTAGCTGAATGCCAAGGAGAGAAAAATCCCCCCCAGTCACGATTATGGCAATGAAAGCTGGGATGGGAAGCTCTGAAGGAGCCCAGACATCACACCATCACCTTTCCTGACAGACTGGCAGTGTCCCCGTGAGTCACCAGCCCGTGACTCCCTGGTGACCGAGTGCAAAGCTGGAATCTCTTCTGTCGTTTCTCAGGGATCACAGGGAAGATAAACACATGATTGGTGTCATGCTGACCCTAACGAGGGTTCAAAGCATGTTGTTCCTGCTCTCATCCTGCTAGTTAGGGGAAGGAAACACCTAGAAAGTCCTCTTGGCTCAAATATAACCCCAGAGGTTTCTGTTTGGCTCTTCCTTGCTCCACACTCCCCCACAAGAGCTTTGCTTCCCCTACAGAACCTCAGGCAGAGAGATAAATTAGTAATTGGAATATGTCTGTACCACCCCTTTACCCACGGCTCCAAGAGAGGAGCTAGCAAGGAATTAATTAACAAGAAATTAGCTAATAAAGTAAATTTCTGCTCTTCCTCTTCACCCTAACCAACCAGGCTGCAATCCCTAAAGCCAAACCTCCCCTCCTGAGCTTAGAGAGCCCAGAAACACAAATAAATACACAACTTTAAGAAGTTTTCAGTAAAAATCATGTATTGAATATGCCAAGCACAGCCTTAGAGGGCTCCAGGAGCTGTGCTGCTGTTATCAGTTTAATGAGCAAGCCCTAATTAGTCCCAGCCCCCAACTTCTCCATCAGCTGCCTTGAAGCTGAGCCATGGTTCAGCTCACCTGCCAAGGAAGTCTCTTAAACTGACGGCATTTGAGACATCTGGGATCAAAAGGAAACTCCACATCCAAGCCTTCCCCCTCCTCAGGAGGTTGCCAAGAGCAGGCAAGAGCAGCTGGAAAGCACTGGAGCACGGGAAGAGTATTTTAAACATCATCACATGCAATTGAATAGGTCCTTGAGCATCAAGCAGGGCCAGCTGGTGCCAGGCAGGACCCATCTGCCTCAGCTGATCCAGATCAGAACCTCCATCAGTTATCAGCAAGCCTTTACACAGTCCAGCTGTGCCCCAAAAACACCAGCAGGTCCCCACAAAGCCTGGTGTTACTCTGGGGAGAAGGGAAGATCAAGCATCTCATTATGTCCCTGCTCATCAGCAGCCTGTCCCATCCCAGTCCTGCTCAACATTTTAATTAAGTTCAGAGCAGCTGTCATTAATTGAATTCCAGCTCTCAACAACCACAGCAATATGCAACAGCTTTTTTTCTTTTATTTCTGAACCAAGCCCACTGTGGGCCCAAGGATGATCAGAACTCCAGGACCAGAGGGCAGCGAGCCACAGGGGGAACAAAACCAGCACGGGGGTTGTGGGGTTGTGCAGGGACAGGGCAGCTGATGCCAAACAACCCCTGAGGACAGGGCTGGCTCTAGGGGATGCAGACAAGCCTGCAGCAGAGAGCAGGACCTGACTGCTGCCCTCACAGCCCAGTCACTGCAGGCAGCATCTGCCGGGCACAGAGGTCTCCAGGGAGCCCCACGCTCAGTTTTTCCACGGGGCAGAAGAACAAGAGATTTCTCATGTTGGTCCTTCCCAGGGCTGCAGGACTCTCAGTCTCTCAGTCTGTAAAACCTTCAGTGCTTGCCTGCTTTTGTGCAGCTCTCTTGAACCTTGTGACATTTGCTTTTCTATCCCATCAGAGTCCCTGCGTGGGTGGCACCAGGCTCGGTTCCAACACGTCACCATTCCCAATGTCCAGCTCCACCTGGATCCCTGTTGGCTGCAAGGAGGAGCAGAGCAAAGCTTATCCTCACCCCTGTTGGACTCTACATATCTCCTGCCTCAGAGCCAAAAATCCCAGATACACCCCCCGAAGGATTTCCTTCTGCAGGTGCCCTTGTTTTAACTGGGTCTGCTGAATGCAGAGATACAAATAGACAAAGCAATTCAGCAAGGAAAGAACATCTTGCTCTGAGACATCCCCAGACACACCACTATTTAGCACATCCAGGATGTATTTTGCTGCCCAGCACACCACCATACCCAAATCTGTTTGGATCAAGCAGCAGAGCAGGCTCAGAGCCAGGAGGCTCAGGCAGGCTGAAGCTGAAGTCACCTTTGAAGGTGTCAGAGTCATTTCCACAGGACCCTCATTGCCCACACACCATCAGGAGAGTGAGACCAACACCAGGAACACAGTGACCTGCACTGGAAGTGGTGCCACTCATTTATTCTGCCTATAAATACCAGCCCAGGCTGCTGGGAACAGATGCTCTTCTCTTCTGCACATCCAGCCAGGCTGCACAAGCTCCTCTCCCACTGCCAGGGCTCACCCAGCAAGGCTGGTCCTGCCCCACTCCCACAGGGGCCAGGGTCAATCCCACAGCACTGGGATGCCCAACACCCCTGCATTCCCAAGGGATGGATGCAGGGAGCCTCACCTGTCGAGGTGACTTTGCCAGGGAAGCAGCACGTTGTGTGCTGCCTTCTTTGCTCTCCAGCAGCACCCGGGTGCTGGGCACAAAACTCCAGGAGCGGCCCAGGGCTGGCTTCAGTGGGCCAGTGCTGCTGTCCCTTGTCACCTGGTTGGTCACCTGCAGCACAAATACATTTATCAGTGCCTGGGAAAAGCAGTGCCACTCGGTCTGGAGGTCACCAGGAGATCCTGGCCAGGCCAGGACCTTTAAGGAACCCTCAAGGAAGGTTTTTCCTTCTCCATCCTGAGCCCTCCTTCAGCTCCTCTGCCCTCCCCTCTGAACACAGCCCAGGTACTGAGAGTACAGGGAGTTCAGTGATATCTGTGCAAGCTGCATCACTCCTGGTGCTGAAGTCACCACAAAGTTTAACCTGGAGCCTCCAAGTGTCCTTCCAGACACACTGTCCTTGTCACTTTATCAGAATGAAGGGCAGGACTTTCTCAACACCTTCCACTGCCAGGCTCAGCAAACCACCACCTTCTGGTGTGGCTTTCCCTGCTCAGACACATTAATTGTGGTCCCCCCACCTGTCTGATGCATTGGCAAATGCAATTGCTTGGCCAAGAGCTTGGCAAGGCTAGAGCAGGACCTCCCCAGCTCCTGTGGGGTGATGCAATGCCCTGCAGTTCCTGCACGGTGACCAAGAGTTTACCCAGGACGCTGGCCAGCCCCTGAAATTAATGGTGTTACATCAAAAATAAACACAACCAGCCTTTCCATCTGCCTGTCCTTAACTCTGCCTTGCTCAATCCAGTGAGTGGCTGAGGACAGCAAGAGCAGGAGGCAGCACATCAGCCCAGGTCTTGCTCCCTGCTTGGAACAAGACATCTGCAGGCTGCAGAGATGTTGGTGAGCAGGGCACTGGGGGGTTCAGGCCTCTGGCTCCTGTTTAGCTGAGAGTGGGGTCTCCTCTCCCACAGGCTCCAGAGCCTCCCCATGGCTTCCTGTCACACACCAGCACACAAAAGACAAAGCACAGCAACACTCACCACAACAGCAAGGCTGAACTCCCTGGCCAGGGTCTTCAGCTCCCTGGAGAGCTGCATCATGAGGGCCAAACCTGGAGCAGGACAAAGCATTTGGCTGTGTGGGGAGCAGCCCCCAAAGTGCATGCTGGAAGCAGCTGACATCTGGATTGGCAGTGGATTCAGTGCCAGCACTCATGTTCATGGACACCTTCCCTGGACCACTCCTCATCCTTTCCTGTCTTAGAAGGCCCACGGTCAAAAAACCCTACAAAAGCACCTGGAGCTCCAGACAAGGTGGCCAGGTTGATTTAGCAGGCACAGGACCCATCTCTCCATCTCACAGCTTCACTTCCTACAGCCCACAGCTGTCAGGGGACCTCCTGTGATGACAGCACTGGCTGCCACCAAGCTGTGCAAGACCCTCTGGGAGGTGTTTGAGCAGGCATCCTCACTTGTGATGTATGGTCCTTTCTGACACAAAGAGCTCTGCAAACTGTGCCAGCAACCATGATGTATTTCTGATACTGTAAGAGAAGTTTTAATTTATGGGTAAAGAGTTCAGTGCCTCCCCTGGATGTGTTTCAGATCACTGCCATGTGTGCACAGCCACAGCCAGCTGGAGTGTTTGCTGCTAACACTGCACACAGGCTCCACTTTTATCCAGCCCCAAAGACAAAGCCGGGAGCAGTCACATCCTCATCATTCCTGCCCCAGCCCCCACTCCAAGCACAGCACACATGGGTGGAGGAGGAGGATGAGGATGAGCAGAGAGCTCTGCAGCCTCCTGGCACACACAGTGACCCAGCTCACCCTCCGACTGCCTGCCACCCAGCAGAGGGTAAATCACAGCCGACACCGAGTCCAGCAACACCATCTTGAGAGGTCCCGTGGAGCTCAAGACCTGCAAGGAGGCACCGCATTGTGAGAGCCAAAGGAGGGACTCCAGAGGGGCTCTTTAAATGCTGTTTATTGTATCCAGGTACAGCAATTCACGGGTCTTGGGTGACAAGAGCCCAGCCCACAGCCTGTCAGCCACAGCTGTTGGCTTGTCTGAAGCCACCCCAGCTCTAGTTACAATGCATTATATTCTTTTCTTTGCTGAACCTCGTAGTACATAACAATCCAATCAATACCTTTACTATTACCTATAGCCTATCATAACCACTAACATTACCGTATTCACGTTACTATTTCCCAATCACAAAAAGTTAATGTGTTACAGTTTAAGCTAGAAGTTGTTTTCCAGTTTTCTTGCAGTGGAAAATTCTGAGACCTTTTTTCTACTTTCAACATGGTTTGCATGTGAAATCTTTTTGCTTGGTATAAACATCTTCTGTCTGAGGTGGATTTATCCTTTGCTCTGAGCCATAAAAACCCCCTCCAGCTCACATACTAACACACCCTTTGGCTTCTTAGTTACCCAGTAAGACTGGCTCAGTAATTCTTCTATATCAAAACTTGCTTTCATTTCTATTCCTTCTTCAGATTCCACATTCAAAGATCCTTCTGTTAAACGTACACATCTGTGAGACCTTCCTGTCAAACCCCTACCCATCCCAACACCACCTGCAACGTGCAGTAACAAATCCAGCAGTTTTGGGGGCTGTGAGCTGCACAGAGGCCCCAGTGCCCCCAGGATGAGGCAATCTGGAGTCACTTGTCAGGCACACAAGCCCTGCTGCCCTCCCTGCAGCTCTGGGGAAGGGAGGGGCACAGAGGCTCACTCCTACCTGCTGGGAGAGGCGATCCCGCAGCTCCTGCAAGGCACTCAGCAGCTCATAGATGCTGAACACACGAACCACCTGGATCCGCTGCAGAGCCTCCAGCTGCAGCACAAAACTCAGCCTCAGTCTCCCCAGGACTTGTCCTATTCCTCCTGCCCCAGCTGCCAGCAGCTCTGTGCACTCACACCATGCCACAAAGCCAGGGATCATTATTCTTGCACACTGCCTCCACCCCAACAACACCATTTCCCCTATTGCACTGGTGGGAAAAGCAACGTGGATTGAGCTCAGGGAGACAAGTCCTGCAAGGCCAGTAAGGCCCTCCCTTCTCCCAGGAAAAACAACAAAGAGCAGTGTCTGTCCTGAGCATGGCACCCACTGGGCCATGGAAGGAAGGCTTTGGACTCAAAAAAGCCCATGAGGACAAAGGCAGAGCTGGAAAGACAAACCACCTCTGGGGTTTCTTGCAGGCAAGAGCAAAGTGAGTTTTAGAGCAAGCAGAGGGACCAGCTCCAGGAGAACTTGCCTGCTCCTCCTCATCCTCTGTCTGGGCTTGGAGCATCTGGTAGAGACGAGAGGCAGTGAAACCCCCAGTGGAGTCCAGAAACAGGACGTGCTGCTTGAGGCCCAGGGACACACTGGCTGCAATGCCCAGGCACACCTGGGGGACAGGGACAGGGTGTCAGCCAGCCCTCACACGTCCTTCTGCTTCACCTGATGGCACCATCTTCACCCTACCTGTCCTCCACCCCACTCACCTGTGTCTTCCCACTGCCTGGGGCTCCCATCAGCTCAGTCACTTCCCCCGTGTACAGCCCTGAGTCCAGCAGCTGGTCCAGGCTATGGGATGGACACAAGGTGGGATTGTCAACACCCCTTCAGCCAGCATGGCAGGGCACTGGGAGGCAGCAGTCACCAGGTATTTGTCCTTAAGGTCCCCCTCCCAAATGCACACAAGTACATGGGAATGGTTGGAGACTGAAATTCAAAGCTTGTGCTGGCAACCACAGCCTTGTGCAGCAAACCCAGCCCCAGCAGAGCTGGTGGTGGGTGAGGTACCCACCTTGGGCTGCCAGTGGGCAGGATGGCAGTGGAGCTCTTGAGCTCCTCGTAGAGGTCTGCTCCATTGGCAGGGAAGGCAGAGAACTGGGCCAGGAGCACACGTCTGACTGCGACCAGTGCCTGGGGACAGAGAAATGGCTGGAAATGGGGCTGATCAATGGACAGCAACTGCTGCAGAAGGTCCCCCCAGACAAGCCCACCCTTGTCCACAAGCCAAACAGCTCTGAGCTCCCCAGTTAATGGACAGGAGTTAGGAGAGTCCTTTTTACCTTGTAAGACAGAGAACACTTTTGGGCAACATCCTCCAGGTCTGAAGACACAAAGTCCACCACTGCAAATAACATGAGGGACAAGAGGATGGAAGCCAAACATGGTCAGACCACAAACACCAGAAGACAATCAGCCTAGACAAAATCTGCACTGACAAGGAAAGTGTCTGTGCCCTCTGTCAATACTAAGTAGAGGAGTTTGTCCTCTGAGATGGCCCCATCATTCATCACAGAACAAATAATTTCTTGCAAAACAGATCGAGAGAGAAGCTGGTAAAATTTTGCTCTGTTTTGCTCAAGAGCTGCCCAGCATCTTTTCCTTCCCCTCTAAGAGCAAGAGACGCCCAGAGTGCAGCATTCCAGGAAGTTGGGCAATTTTCACAGGGAAAACTGCACAAACCCTCCTGAAAAACTATAAAAAATCCAGAATGGATCAATCCTCAATGAGCCTCTGCAGGGATCTCTTACCATGTCCTTACATTCTCCTGCTCCTTTGGAGAAGTCTTTATTCACTGTATCCACCCAGGAGGACCCAGAAGACATCCAGCAAGGAGGACACAGAAGGATATTCCACCACCACCACCCTCCCAGGATGTGGGATGATAAAAGTGCACCAAATGCACAGGGGATGATGTTCCCCAGCCTGAGATCTGGATGTCACCCTGTCACCTGTCCTGATGCCATTGGCCCTGAGAAGCTGGATCATGTCTTCAGTGAGGCCAGGGCAGAGCCCAGCCCGCAGGACCACCATGTCCACAGGGAGGGAGAAGAGCAGAGACCTGCAGAGGAGATGGGAGAGTGGAATTCATAGAATCATTAAGGCTGGAAAAGACACCCAAGATCATCAACTCCAACCCTCAACCCTGCACTGCCAGGTCCAACCCTGAGCCACGGATGGCACCTGAATCCAGGGAGCAGCCACCCAAGCTGGGCTTGGGATGGGTGGGTAATTAATTCCTCTTTGGGGCCAAACAGCCCAAAATCCTGCACGGGGGCATCGCTGCAGCTGCGGGAGCAGAGTGGGCGGGGGGATTCCCTCCCTGGGCTAGGGGGGGCCCTGCATCCTAAGGCACCTCTATCAGAGATGCTGACTCACCGTGCTGGGCTCCCCTGCATCCCAAAGCACCTCCATCAGAGATGCTGACCCACCACTCCCGGTCCCCGCTCCCTCTCCGCTCCCTCTCCGTTCCCTTCCTGCTTCCTGCCGCCGGCGGAAGGGCCGGGGCCGCTCCCCTTACCCGGCCCGCCCGGGTGTCCCTTCCCC